ATACCATATATGTTCTATTCAATCGCCTTCACCTGGGATTGAACCAGTATCTTGTGATTTGACCTGTGGAGTGTTAATCACTACACTATAGACCCACAGGTCTATTGTTAGCAGTTTATTATTATAGATTATAAACAAATTTTATTTGTTCTAAAAAAATTAAAAACAGTTTGTACTTTAAAAAATCAGTAGTAATATAAATATAAATATACATTAAAACTAAATAACTTTACAGCAATCAGAATTTCTTAAACAAAAAAGAAAAGAATAAACAAACTATAATTGAACCAATAACATTTGAACACAGTATATCAAAAGTGTCAAATCTATAAAACACAATTCATATTATGTTAAAAACCATTAATGTTAAATTAAACTTTATCATAATAGAATAAATTATTATTGATATATTAGCCCTTCAAAATTATATAGTTCTTTTGTTTTGCTTTTTTTTCCAAAAGGTTTTTCTTGAAATAAATAGTAATAGACTAACATGCATAGTAATTAGCTTAATATTTGAACATTAATTATGCATTATTCATTTTACAATTAATAAAGAACATAAGAAATATCTTATTTAACATTTAAAAAAAATATATTACAAAAAATATTAATAAAAAAAAGTATAAAAATTATATTTAAAATTTTGGTATGTATCCGGATTTAAATTATACAATAAGTATAGACAGATTTAAAACCAGATATTTATTAGAATATCTAGTTATATACAGTGTATCTGGATTAAAAACAATATATAAATATATCTAATTATGTATCCGGATCCAAGCTCTAATTTTATGGAAATTTTATTTAAATACCTGATCTTTTTGATTACATTATTGTTATAGTTGCAATAAAAAATCGTTTATTTTGTAACTTACATTAAGAAGACTTGATTTTAATGCATTATTTTCCGTAAGTATATGGTTTGCGGTACTCCGTTTTTTCAACAATTTTTGTAATTGTTTTTCGCAGTAAGTGACCTTGATTTCATGCATCTTTTGTCGCGTCTAGAACATGTAAAGACTAAAATGGATGTTTTAGTTGCAGGTCAAGACAAGGTTTCAGGAATTAAAATTCTAACCTCTTCGAGAGAAATCAAATTCTTCGGTTGTTTCTTTTCCAGATCCATCCAATATTGTTTCACTGCCACTGTTCTTAATTTATAAATCATTTTGGAGAATATGTTGAATATGTTGCACCAAAGGGACACATGCAAAAAGGTTATAACTCCACAACACGGAGGTTAGGAGGTAGCGTGAAATTCACACCAGCACTGAGGCCATCCCCATTGACACAGAGGTCGAGCAAAATAGCTCCTTCGACGACACAGAGATCGCAAAGGGATGGGATAGGACAATGGCAAGCTAATAAACTCTCCATTGAGGTCAAGTGGAAAACTTCACCTTAATATGTTTTAGACAAGCTTGCTCGTGACTTTGTCTTTAGAAATGTAACTAAGTGTTCCCACATACAAACTGTAGGTATTGTCTTTTTTTGGCAGACGTTTATGTTCCAGGATGCCAAGTAACGAGTAATAAGTTAAATCCTCGAAGTACGCACGCGTCAGTAGACATAGGTTCGTGTTTATTTACACACATCATTTTTTACTTATATAAACTGCACTAAATTTTTTTCATTTTTAAAACATTAAACACGCATGTTCGTATACTGTAGGTAAAACTGAAGCATTTTAAGCAAACGAAAACTTATAATGCAGACAATAGTGTGTAAATAATAGATTTGATTCCTTTCGATTTTTATTATAATCAATAAAGTAAATGCGCATTGGTGCAATTTTTTACTAATATTTTTTCGTGTGGTTAACGTTTTGAATATATCCTATTTTGCAATAAAACAATGACATACAAATTCCTGAATTCTCTTTAGAAGCGATTAAACAGTATCTAGTGAAATCCCAGCACAGAATAGACAAAAAGAGATTTTATGTTGGTATTGTTACTATAAAGCATGAGGATATTATGTGTATGAATGAAATTAACCAATCAGCAAGAACAATGATATATTATGTGTATGAATGAAATTAACCAATCAGCAAGAACAATGATATATAAATGTGATAAAAGCACTTCTCCCAGATATCACTGATGTAAACTTGCGTCAAAGAACATTCAGAGCAAAAAAAATTTATATATTACTTACAGGCTAGGAGTAGGAAAAGTTCATGCAATAACATGTAGTACAAGCGTAATTTCGAATTTAACTGACAAAATTCGGGATATTATAAATTGCTTTTCTAAAAATCTTCTCATGTTAATTACCAAGAAACAATTGGCGAATATTGAGGTAAACAAAGAAAATTTTACCAGAAACTGAGATTCTAACAAATCTAAGAAAACTTTGCCGGAGGTAAGCGCCTCAATAACTTCCTCTATTCAATCATCTGCATCTCTCTAATTCGGAAGGTACTGTAAACATATCTATTAAATCTGTTTCTGTTGATTTAGGAAAATTTCCAGAAACTGAGGTAAGCATATTCTTGATTCTTCCAACGATAACAATTCTGATAATGATGATAATGACGATAATGAAGCGAATTCAAAAGATTCAAATAAGATAAATACTACACATGACCATATCTATTTCTGTAAAACAATATCCTGATTTGTATTGGGAAGGCAGTGATGGAAATAATGATTATTATAGAATTACTGATGAATTCTTATGCCCGCTATGCAAATTAAATCATTGTAAGGAGTATGGCATAAAAGGCAGATATAAACTCGATCCTGATTTATTAAATGTTAACAGCCTGAATTAAAATCGAGATAATGGCATAAACTTTAGAAGCTTTGCTTCAGCTCTGCTACCTTATGATCCGTTATTTATTTCACACATAGTCTGGTTATATAATAAGAAATTCAACTATATTAATCTAGACATGGACGAGTGTACATTTATTTTTTGTTAGTTATTATGTGACTTGCGTTGCTAGCTTTGTTATTAATTTAAAGAGATATAAGATCATATAAACGGCAACATTAATATACAGAGAAAGACCAATAAAGCATTAACTTCCGAATATTTGGAATGGAAAGCTAAATTAACAGAGCTGCCAAGTACTTTGACAGATAAGAGATATAAGAAAAAAAATGAACTCAATCCCTGGTTAAACTCTGAAACTTCCAATTGAAAAGATCGAAAATTACCTTCCATAGGATTGTGCTATCAAAATTTTCAAGTTTTCCCGAAAGAAAAAAATATAATCCATGAAACAGTATATACTGTTGTCACGGGTCAGGGGTCTATCAGCAGTAACAGCGAAATCCTAGACTTCGCGACACTTCGACAGGAGTATCTGTTATAACAGGGGGGGATTAAAGGCAGAAAGAGGCGTAGATTTGGCGAGTTTGTGTGATTTTATTAATTATTATTTTTCTTTAATTCTAAAAATTTATAATATTGTTAGATATTTCAAAAATTTGTTAATTAATTTATATACTGTTGGACCAAAAAATAGTAAGTTAGTTATTTATCCAGTTTAAAGTTAATGTTATTAAAGATATATTAAGACATATAAGATTGATTTAACTGGGGCTTTTGCTATTAACAAGCTTTTCTCTTCTTTTCTAACACCAGCTTTTCTCTTGATAATCCTAGGCTATATTCTATAGTAGTGATTATCCTTCCTTAGATAGTGTGTACTTGAAAAAATAAGTTGTTAATTACAATATTTCTTTTTGAATATTATAATTTTACCAATTGTTTTTTTATTATTAAGTGCACCATTGTTTTTACTACCTACTTTCTATTTATTGTTTACTTTACAATAGTATTGCTATTTATATCATTGCTACTACTAAAAAACAATTAAGAGAAAATAGACTATCAAGGCTAAAATAAACTATAGGTAAGTTATATAAGCTTCTATAACTACATTTTCTATGCTGATTATTACTGTATACCACTGCATACAATACTCCAGGTATTAATCAATTTACCTCCTAATAAATTGATTAATACCTGGAAGAGTATTTTACTAGAAGGGGGATAGTATTAGTGGCAGGATATATCATTATTATAAAATTCAAAATATTATTGTCTTACTTATTATTATATTAATATATC